CTCTCTCTCTCTCTCTCTCTCTCTCTCTCTCTCTCTCTCTCTCTGTGTCTCTCTCTTTGTCTCTCTCTCTGTCTCTCTCTCTCGTAGTCTACTGATGCAGTGAAGTCAGATAGCGAGAGGGTGAGAAGGAGATGGTCGACTGAGAAGAGGAAGAAGAAGAGCTCTCGCTCTCTCATGCGCCACGTACTAACCTGTGAAGATGGCGCTGTGCTGCAGGTACCTCGAAGACGAAGCTGGAGCAACGGCACTGCAGGTAAGTCTCTCTGGCCTTCGCCCAATCTCTCTCTATAGTACTACTCTAGCTGCTATGTCGCCCAGCGCTGAAGACTACTGCTAACGCTACTACTACTCCTGCAGTGCTCCTCCAGAGTGCTGCTGCCAAATCCTGAAGACTACCTCCTGCCTCCTGAACTGCACGTGAAGTGCCTGGGAAGTATCTAGGAACTACCTGCCTGCCTGCAGTGCGGGCCAGTCCTATATACTGCTGGCCCGTCCAGGAGGCTGCTCTTGCTAATGCCAAAACGTGCCAGACCCTGGCGTTGAAGCTCATCCAGGGGTTGTCTTGAAAACAGGCCCGAAATGGCCTGTGCTAAAACCCTGGTGTAACGACCCGCCAAAAACACAGACTGAGAACACTGCTGATTTCTGGGACTTGCCGCTGGAATGAATGCCTTGCTGAGATTTGCGCATTCTTCTGTGGTTTCCAAGTCTGTGTGTGTGTGTGTGCCTGCTGGTTTGCATGCCCGTCTGAGTGCTTGTGGGCTGAGTGTGTGTGTGACCCGCAAGAGTATTTGTTGGTTGAAAGGCCCCGCAGGGCCGGTACATACCTGTGGCCGTGACTTTGAGGGTTGCAGCAGGGAAGACACTCAAGTAGCGGGGGTAGGCCCGCGACACTTAGAGCAGCGGGGAAAAACACTCAAGTAGCAGGTAGGCCGGTACCACTCAAGTAGTGGTAGGAGTGTCGGGTACTGGAGGCCGAGCAGAAGAATACACAAAGTTGGCATTTTTAGAGGCTCAGTAGCTGTTCATAAGGACCTGATCATAAGCATATCAGGCAGCATATCAGGCAGCATGTAGCTGACAGGAGAAAAATGATTTTTAGTTTCTTTTCTAAAAACACAGGTCCTTATGGCCCTGGGTCCATATCCATTCTGGGGAGCATCAGTCCGGTTCCTATTCCGCCGGCAAGTCAGAATACATCGAGAACACCCACACGCTTCCTTCCATTCGGCAAAAGGACCCCAGAGCAGCATTGATTGCTCCCTAACCTGCCAATTTTTGTTTTTTTGTTTTTTTTTTTAAATCAAAACAGAACCTCTTGGTTCTGGCTCCTACCATTCTGGGGAGCAACAGTCCAGTTCCTATTCCCCCGGCAAGTCAAAATGGAATACACGGGAAACCCACGGGCAAACCAGCCAAATTTAACGTGATACTGAGAAAGGATTAAGAGATGTGGCAGCCACCCACCCCTGAACTTGTAGGAGATGTCCTGCTGGAACTCGTAGTCCTGTAGGTTGTTGACTGTTTCGGAAATGATTCATAGTCTCAATGGAAGGTCAGAATTACTTTCAGCATTAGACAAGTAGAGACAAGAGATAGGGAAAAACTGGTGTAGTAGGAATAGGCTAACTCAGAGAACACTGGTCCAAATTGCTAGGACAGAGAATGGAACCAATCGCTGAACTCCCCTGGCGCAAACACAAGTCTATTCGGCCGGTCAAAATCAGAAGCCTGCAATGGTTAATCACCTACAATGCCCTCCCAGTGAATGTATGGTTACACATCCAAAGGAAACACAGCGACCCGAACAGCTCAGAACAATGCCTAGTGTGTTCAGAAAACCAACAGGAGGACCTAATACATTGCCTGGTATCCTGCAAGACATATGGGCAAGAGCCTCAGCACCCTGGGACTAACTTTTTCCTTCTACCCTACCTGAACACCCGATCCAACTACTCCTGTGGACTAACATCCCTTCCCAATTCTCTAAGTCTGAACGCGTCTGGTTTGGAATAATCAGGAAGGTGACTCTCTGGGTCATCTGGAAAGAGAGGTGTAACAGAACTATTGACAAGTCTAACAATCAGGCGGAGCAAGTCTGGGCATCAACGAGATTCCTTATGGAAACTGATATCCGGTGCCAATGGAAGAAGATCAAACTCCAAATTCAGCAGAATCCGGAGGAGCAACGAGAAACAATATCCAAGTTCAGGAGGGTGTGGCTCGTCAACAGGAAGATAGCGGATATTGATGCTCTGCAAATTCAATGGAAGGAATGGCACAACTCAGAGGCTCCCCAAAGAACACGAGTTTCTTTGCAGACAGGACAACGGGACTACAGGGATATATCAGTCTCCAGCGTCAAGCCACGGAGATAGGTTCTCTGGTTTTCTTGCAATACTCGCATATCTGACAGGCCCCTATAGAGGAGCTTGAGAGGAAGTCCAGGGAAAGGCAAGAGTCAATCCTCCAGATCTGTGGAGAAATCATACAGTTCAGGGACCCTTCGGCCAGACAGAAGGGAGCAAGCGTGTGTATACTGATGTAACTCACTTCATATGGGGGGGGGGAGGAATTTAAAAAAAAAATACCAGGGATTTTACGAGGCTAGACAGAATTAGTAGCAGTTGTAGCTTCTCAGACCTTTCTTGTTTTCATGTTGCATTTGACTGGTTCTTATAGTAGTCCTGAGAGGAAAGGTGCAAGCAGGGCAAGCTGACAGTCAATCCTCCACGATGTTGGAGCAATCAATGCTGATCAGGGTTCCTTCGGCCAGACGGAAGGAAGCGTGAGGGTATCTTATGATGTAATTACCTTTCCTGACTTGTCAGTGGAATAGGAACCGTACTGATGATTCCGAGAATGGAAATGGAGCCAGGGCCATAAGGACCTATTTATTAAAAAAAAAAAGGGAGAAAAAAGCATGGCTACGCCGGACCCGGACCCGGACATGGAACCGGACCCGTGTCCGGTAGTTTCCGGACATCCGGAATTCCGGACATTTCCGGACCTCCCGACATGGGGGGATCCGGACAGTCCGGATGCCTGGACAGGTCCGGAAAATGTCCGGAACGTTAAAAAAAATAAAAACAAAAAAATCTGAAAAAAAAGTATGTTATGCAGTATAGCAATGCAATCCACTTTTGCCTCGGAGTCATGTCAGAATTCCAAACCAAACTTGAGTTAGAAGTCGAAAACGATAAAAAAGCTTAAAAAAAGTTAAAAAAAACTTCAAAAACTAATAAAAGGTAATAAATTATTAATAATTAAAGAATTGGGGTTGTCTAATAAATTATTATATAGAGAGAGCATGTCCGGACCCCTCAAAAAAGCATAAACGGGCCTGAAAAAAACCCAACACAATTTTGGGGGCTTGCCTCCTTAATGGGGAAGGGTCCCGGACCGTTTCGTTTTGTTTTTTCCCCTCGAAATTTGGCAGATCCGGACCTTCCAGACCGGACGTCTGGAGTCCGGACTGGATCTGGACCGTCTGGACGGTGGTCCGGACGTCCGGATCGTAGCCATGGAAAAAAGACAAGAAAAAAAAAAGGAATAGGCTAACTTAGGCACGGGTAAGCGGAGGTACATCCTTTTCCAGAATTAAAGTAATCAATGCCCGCCACTCAGGTCTCTTAGCCATAATGCGGAGAAGCGTTTTGAGTGTGTTGTGATATGTATTCTTGACTTGACGGTGGAATACGAACCGGACTTAATTTTTTTTAACAAAAAAGAAAGAAGAACGACACAAGTAATTGACACATCTCAGTAAATCTCAACGCACCACAAGCAGTAGAGATCTCTCCAGTCCTCATTTGACAAGAATCTTCCTGGATGACAGGTTGCTTCGCGGTTGATTCTTGATCAGGGGCGTTGCTTGACGTGTTGCATGCCTGGAAACGATCACCGCCCACCAGAATGCAGGCCACAACACTTGACCCTGCTTCCGAGCTGCTGCTGGTGGCTTTCCATCCCCTTGTATCAGGAGTCAGTTGCTTTCTCAATAAAGACACTCGCAGATGTTCTTGCCTGGTTGACAACTGCTCACTTGTTGCCTGCTCATAGAATCCTTGCCTACTTGACAACTGCTCACTTGTTGGCCCATCATGGTCCCTCTGGCCTTGATCTAGGAAAACCTGTATTCCAGATACAACAGCAATGTCCCACAAAAAGGATCTCACATAGTGGACATGGCTAGAGCAACAGCTTGAAGCTTTCTCCCACAATGAACACGACTCCCTTGCTCTTCGAAATCCCCCTTCCTCCTTTCTCCCCTTCGCCCACTGTCAATCTTCCTGTCCTTCAAACTGTTTGCCCAACTTCTGTCTCCCACCACCTCTGCTATGCTTCAGTTCTTTGCAACCCGTAATCATCCCCATTCACTAGAGTTGTCCAAACATATCCACTGGTTCTACATCAATCAATCCATACAAATCACGCGCCGATTCACTATTTTTCTTCCCGTCCTGCCCATTTAAGTGCAACTTCCTATCCATTTTGATTTGGAAAGACTTGCACCTGTCTCTTATACACATCTAGATGTGTATAAGAGACAGCATATCCACTGGTTCTACATCAATCAATCCATACAAATCACGCGCCGATTCACTATTTTTCTTCCCGTCCTGCCCATTTAAGTGGAACTTCCTATCCATTTTGATTTGGAAAGACTTGCACAGTTCCAGTCTGAGATATGTGCATTTTCTGCAAAAGGTTGCTCTTCGATCTGTTTGGTGAGATTGCAGAGTTTGAGTCTATTTTTACCGTGATTTTCTGTCTACGTAACCTGCTGATGAGATGGATATCCCTGTGTGCTGCCTGAGTCCAGGTCTGTATCCGTGAAGGAAAGACAAAAGGAATTTGAAAATAATGTCAAAGGGTGCTTGAAATTGCTGAGCGAGAAGCAGATGGAGGAAAGTCGTGCATCCCCATCTGGGCAGGGGTGGACGGCGACTGTGTTGTCGCCCTCCTTGTTGGGCATGAGATCCCTGCCAACATGAGCTGTTGTGGCCGGCGTTGCAGTGGGGAACGACTGAAAAACCCACGGATGGTAGTCACAGCAGTCAAGGACCTTGAGCACATGCCTCTTTTGGCAGGCGCGTTGGGGTTCCTGCGTGTTCGGGGTGCTGATGAAATTCATCGATCCTGCTCGACTCAAACAGCGGACCAAGGAGTTCAATGTGCATGCGAGCCAGTGGATGCTTAGCCCACAAGGTGGAAGAAACCTGAGTGGCGCGAGCACTATGCGGGTGCACTGACCGCCAACCGCGATCTGGTGTAGGAGGTTTGAGTGTGAGCATACCTATTGGGACCCGAAAGATGGTGAACTAAGCCTGAGCAGGACGAGGCTGGAGAAAACTCTGGTGAAGGCCCGGAGCGATAGTGAAGTGCAAATCGTTCATCGGACTTGGGTATAGGGCCAAAAGACTAATCGAATTGTCTAGTAGTTGGTTCCCTCCGAAGTGGCTCCCGGCGATACTGACGAGCAAATTGTTCGTCGGACTTGGGTATAGAGGCGAAAGATCAAATCGAGCTGGTTCCCTCCGAAGTTTCCCTCAGGATAGCTTGAGGTGTTGGACTGTACCCTCATCCTACCAGACTGTGCACTGACCGCCAACCGCGATCTGTTGTATGAGGTTTGAGTGTGAGCATGCCTATTGGGACCCGAAAGATGGTGAACTAAGCCTGAGCAGGACGAGGACGGAGAAAACTCTGGTGAAGACCCGCAGCGATAGTGACGTGCAAATCGTTCATCAGACTTGGGTATAGGGCCAAAAGACTAATCGAATTGTCTAGTAGTTGGTTCCCTCCGAAGTGGCTCCCGACGATACTGACGAGCAAATTGTTCGTCGGACTTGGGTATAGAGGCGAAAGATCAAATTGAGCTGGTTCCCTCCAAAGTTTCCCTCAGGATAGCTTGAGGTGTTGGACCGTACCCTCATCCTACCGGACTGTGCTGAATAGGAAGAATGCGATGAGGTGTTAACGGGGAAAAATGAGGAAAAGGGTGAAAGGGAAAGTGTGACATACTCTAATGAGTATGGGCAGAACCAAGGATCAACCAATGTAGGACGAGCATATATGCAACGGAAGTCTGATGAACGGACTGACTCACATAGACTGACTCACATAGACTAACTCACATAGCATCACTCCACACACATACAATCGTGAGGTGTGGGGTCTGAG